ATCCCAAAGCAGCTGGAAAGCCGTTGATTTAGCTAACAGATCAAAATGTTCTAAAGTCATCATTAGGAATTAGAGTTACTGAAAAACATATCATTTTAAAAGGCTTACAATATTCAGATCATATTATTATAATGTTCTTTCAGGATCTTCATAAACAGATAGGGGTGGTTGTTAATAAAAAGATACAATGTCTTTGAACAAACATAAAACAAATGTAAACACAAATGTAATGGTTAAATTTCACATTCTCACTTTCTTGAAGTTTTGGCATTCGAAAATCGAATAATATATAAATGAAATCCATCCATAAATGTCCCAAAAAATTACCTTAGATTTTTTTTTACAATTTTCATTTATTGTTGATGCACCTAAGTTGATTCTTCCTTGTATGCCGACTATCTGCTTCTCGTCTTATTAGTCCCACATTTGCTTTCAAATAACAAAGAGAACTCTCGAACCACGATAATAATATTTCCAAACAGCAAACATCTTTATAGCAAAGGAGAACAACAGAGCAAATTTCTTGAAGTGAACTTACCTCATTTATTCATCAAGAAATTAGATTCATTGCGATAGTAATAGAGCTGGCGGCTGATATGCTAGTGGCACCGCATCATTATGATCTCTCCCGTAGCATTATACGTCGACTTCTCCAAAACGAATGTTATACATGCAAGATTTAGTGCATTCTAACATAAGTTCATACCTTAAACACATCAAGAAAGTGCTTGGATGTTGTAATAAAATCATCAGAAAAATTAACATATAAGAAAGTTGAAAGCATTAAAATTATGAAGCTTTGGTCAATTAGGTAATAATTACATATTCCAATAACCAAATTAGTATTCAAAAATTTCCTAAAAAAAAAAATTCAGTAACGATAATTTATAGAAGAAAGTAAAAGACCAAAGCATTCCAAGAATATTCTTATCACCCGTTCAACGAAACCCGCCATAGTAATTCAACTCATACGACACTGCGGAATAATATTGAAATTATCAATATGAGAAGTCCATCGTCATTGGTCGCCTTGTTGAAAAATAGAACCGACTGCAACACGGACAGAGTTCATGTTGAAATTGGATTTTTTTTCCAACCAATAAATAAGAAAATAGTCTTGTCTTAATCGACAAATAATTAAATAAAACATCTATTATATAAGCCACAAGTAGAGTATTACCTGCAATAGTTGATCGAGGTCGATATTGTCATGGATGCTAGTATACTTGGAAAAAACAAATAATATTGACTTTACCGGAGAGGAGATTAGGATTTTTTTAATCCCCTTTTCTCAAAAAGTTTGGGCACTCCGGGATTGAAGAAATCATAATCCCCAAATTGAGAGTTGAAGTTGATGGAATCGGACGGGAATCGGAATTCCCCCCAAAAAAGAATGGACAACGACGATGTAGAGATCTTCTATTGTTGGATTTCTTCATACCGTTCGGCCGCTGTTGTTCAGATCTAATTGAGTCGGGTGTTGTCTCTTTCTCTCCTATCTGTTGCCGCTAGGAAGAGAACAGAGCGGCGGACCGCACCGGCAGCAACTGGAGAATCACGATTGATGATGGTGGCTATTTATGGATCGATAGCAACACTGATAGCCAGCAACAAGAGCGACTTGAACGGCAATGACGGGTGGAACAATGATTGACAGAAGCAACCGACAGCAGCAGCGGTGCAGTGAAGCGTTGGAATTTCGATGAATTTTGTTCTTGAGAGGAGGAATCAAGAACATAGAGCATATCGGATTCTTCATTCTTTTGAAAATTGAATTTGATTATGAATGGTGGATTTGATTTGAGAAGATAATTTGGAAATTTAATTAGTTGGAGTGATTTGTGGGAAGTCAGTAAATACACGTCGCTGAAATTGGGGAGTAGTTATTACTGATTTCCTTAATCGTGGTTGATAAATTTGATTTACAGAATTGTGGAACTTTGTTTTTTTTTTTTCGGATGAAAACATGACACGTGGCATCTTTCTTTTGTAAAAGATATATTTTTTTGGTTTAGGCGAAAAAAATATTTATGTGAAACTGACAAGTGTGCTAAGTGTCATTTGCTTTCATGAAGCGTAAAGGGTCGTCACAAAATATTACTCTTCCAAAGACTTAGGCTCCCCATGATATTTGTGACAAACAAAAAGTACAGTTACAAACATAGCCCACATACTGTTTCCATCACATTATTACTAATGTCCAACTTTTGAGAGGATGAAAACGCGTTTCGAACGTGTAATATATATATATATATATATTAATTTTAAATTTAACGAAAATTAAAAAAAGATTACATCATATTGAAAAAACATAGGTGGTACTATTTCATTCCAATAATTAAAAAAAAATCATTTTTGAGGTAGAAGAAGTAAAAAATAATAGAAGAAGAAAAAAGAAGAAGAATGAAAGAGATTAAAGAGAAGGGATGGGCGAGGTCGAATTTGTCCCTGATAAGGCTGTTTTATGTCGGCTGCAAAATCAAACCCCCAAACGGCTTGGGATATTCATTCATCTCTATGGACCATTTTGATTCCTTCATTCCTCGACCACATTTTTTCTTCTTCTTCTTCTTCTTCTTTTTCCATTAAAGCTCAAACTTAAAAGCCGCCGTCAAGCGCCTCAAAAAAAAGTTTTCATTTGTCTATCCCTTTTTTACAATTTGCATTGTCGGTTTTGCCTATTGTTTGACTACAATTTGTTTTCAAAAAAAATATCATGCCTGCCGTTCCTACGTACTTTGGATTTGATTTCTTCTCTATCGACCATTACTACGCATTGATCTGGCGTTTGTCCCGACGTGAACAATAACGTGTATTATATATGAACATATCATACATACCACATTCATATTAATCTCACGTCTGACTAATTAAAATTCACAGACTTTTTTTTTTTTTTTTTGTCTTTATAATTTCAATAAGCGTTCATTGAATGGCATGTCTTAATTCTTACCTAGAAGGAATATTGATGGACCAAAAGTATTATCTATGGTGCAAATTTCCCCATGGTCCACACGAAAATTTTTGTTGGGGTGTGGAATTTAATAAAAGGGGCTACCGATATTGCTGAAGTATTGATTTTTGATGGACAACTGTTTTTTTTTGTGCAATGACATGCTTCACGTTTTAAATTGGTGAAATAATGGGTCAATTTTGACAGCATCCTAACTCGCAAACGTATAGAAAAAGGCAATTCAGTGATCGATCGTTCTATAATTCAAATAGCAAAGGTATTTCCGAGATGGATGTTCTATATAGAACATCGGATCCAATAAAACAAAGTGAAATTAATTTAATAATTATTTTCATATCTCAAGATAATTGTTATGTTTGTCGTAAATCATGCAACAAACATGACATTTAATTCAAACGAAGGGAGTAAAAATCAAGAGACAAATAAATCAATACTGTATGACTGATGGCTCACTAATACGAAGATATATTATTTATCAGATTTCTTAATTTAGTTAAACCAGTAATGCATGCCCCAAAAAAATAAAAAATAAAAAACCTAGCTAGTAATAATTTGTGATAACAAAGAGGTCTCAGAAATGAAAATCAACGTCGTTAGGAGGGGTACATTCATGCAGAAGAAAAGATAAAACTTTTGCATTTATATTAGATCACCAGATGCATATTAACGAACAAATGCAATGGAATGGATACTAAACCTAAAAATATTATTTTCGTAGTTTCAAATAAGATACAGAAATATGGGAAGGAAGAAGTGAAGTTATAATTGTACCATTTTATCTCAAACAAATTGGCAGATAGGAATAACTTTCATTTCAGAGTCACCTTGATTTGATATGGGCTAAGGAGAAATAGGCTTGATCAATCCTAATCTTTAGCGTTGAGACTCCTTTCATGGGCTACAAACCAGGCTTTAACTTAGATTGGCTCTATCTAGTGGATTGAATTCATCTACTGGCCTATCAATGGAATCCATAATCATTTCTTGCAGCCCGCCATTTGGAGTAAACAATATTTGGTCTTTCTGCCAGTGTATTTTTCATGAGACCAAACAAGTTAACTAAACTGCATTTGGACAATAAAATCAACTTTTTTAGACGATAAAAGCCCACTCAACTACTTCGTTCTAATAATATAACAAACAAGACAATCATTTTCCACCCGTATATTGGCAATTTGGCATATAGATATTGCATCAAATCTGTGAGTACCAAAAATATATTTTTAGTTTAATTAGAATTGGAGTCCGACCTGGCTTGATATTGGAAAGCTTCTTGCATGCTGCTTAACTTCCTACATTTTTGAAGAGTTAATTGACCCCATTTGATGATTAGTTTTACGGGAAACGAGCTGGGGAGTAGGAGCTTTATTATGATTGGAAGTTAGGCAAGTATACTACGGGTTGTATTCTTATATAATCAAAGAAGAAATAGATTTCTTCTACCTTCATAAGATACTAAAGAGACTCTACTTCCATTTCTTTTGCACAAAGCCAAGGCGGGCCTATTCTTCTATTTAAGCAGCTGAGCGCAAGACAGAAAGAGAACACCTCTCAACATCGATCATCATCGACTATCATTTTTATTCCTTTTTCGTCTTTTCTTTCATGTACTTTTATCATGTTTTCACACCCTTTTTCTCACGCTTTAGGGTGATTTTTTCGGCACAAACATAACGGCACGCCCAGTGGGACAAGCTTTGGTTTGATTCCTAGATCGTTGTGGTTTTTCCTTCTAAAAATCTCTATTTTTAAAATCTCTCTTTCTTCTCTAAAAAAAAAAATAAATTCTTCCTTTCGTTTTTTATTATGGGATCCGATCTTAGTGGCCCTAGGGATCCGATCTATACTTCTTCTTCATATAATAGGTTGCCTAGTAATCTCTAATCTCCATATTCTTATAGTCCATCACCACTTGGTGGGCATATCTCTCAACAGCTCGCAGTTCCACATGTAGGACATAATTCTTTGGGGGCTGAAAATAATATCGGATGGCAGGCTACCCTTGATGGCCGCTTTCCTCAATCTTATGGTCAACATGGCGCTAAACAGCAATCTAGTTGCATTGACGGACGGCGTGACGGGTCTATGGTGCAAGATCCCTCAAGATTCGGGGGGCTGCCTGCTGTTGGTAATTCAAATGCTACACATGATTTTTACAATATGCTAATTAGTAAAACATGGTGCAATAGATACAGGCGCAGCAACTGCAGGTTTTGTCGCCGCAACAACAGCAAGTTCAGGCGCAGGGGCAGCCGCAGGTTCTGTCGCTGCAACATCAGCAATTGTAGATGCAGGCACTTTAGCAACAACAGGTGTCGCCGGTGCAACATTAGCAAGTTCTGTTGCAGGCGCATCCACATCAGGTTATGTCGCTGCAGCATCAGCAAGTTCTATTGCAAGCACAACCACAACAAGTTTTGTCGCAGCAATATCAGCAAGTTCAGATGCAGGTGTTGCAATAGTTGCAGTTACAACAGGTGGTGCCGCAGGTACAGAATCTGCAGGTGGTACAACAAACTCAGCAGACGCAAGAAGCAAATGAAAGTTCAATTGCAATACCAGATCAGTTGCAAGAAAATTCTGTGACAGATTTATCGTCGACGTCGGGGGGGCTACCTAGTGATTTCGATGCTGAGTTTGGCAAGTTTAGGGAAGGCCCGCAGGAACAGTCTGAGCACACTCAACAAGCGTTTGTCGCTGCAAATGAACAGGTGTTGCAGCCATTAAATACAATTTCGGCGAGTGAATCATTGCCGATTATTGAAACTGTAGTTGTTACTGAGCATTGTGTGCATACTGATTCGTTTTGTTTGCCTAAAGAATCTGTCATTGGTGAAAACTAGTATGTTGAAGTTGATTGCATGAAATCTTGTGAGTCTTCTAGCAGCGACAATGATATTGAGGAGTTTATTGTGACAGTTGCGACAATGTTTCACCTGCAATTAATATTTCTGTTTGTCTAAGTGTCGACGAAATTAAGGGCGAGCGAGAGCAAGGCCAAGTGGCAACTCCTGATACCAATTTATCTGTGACAGCTGAATCGACACAATGCCAAGTTGCTAGTGTTCCAAAAAAAGCAGCAGCAGACCAACAGGTTGCAGTTTCTAATGATGGCTTCCAAAATCGGCGGTGCAACAGTAGTGCTGAATTGGTTAATGATGCAACAGATTCCATGCCGGTTAAGCAGAAGTCTAATCATGCCTGGCTTTATGACAAGAGACGTTCTGCCAACAGAAGAAGCAAGCGGAATAAAGGGACGTCAATACCGCATGGTTTTCACTTTGCAGAAAGGGTCGATGACGGTTCCCGGTTACGTGGCATTGATTTTAATGGTGGCGACAGTTGTTATGCTTATTTTGATTATGGTGCTACTATAGAATGGAGGATTGATTTGGCTAAAGATTGTGAGTTGCTGAAATCCTTGATTGGCCGAGAAAAGAAGCGTTCTGCAAGAGATCAGTCGAAGATGCTTACACCTTCCGTTATGAGGACTAGCAGAATCAAGGCATTTGGGGCCGAGGTTGTCGTTTCTAAGTTTAGTAGTGATTCGGCTAAGATTAATAATGATGTGATTATTCAGGGTGCAGCCGACCAAGAGAAAGGATCTGTTGTTGCAGGGTCAAAGGGCGATGATAAAGCCGGCGACGATCAAGCATGTTCTGTTACGGATGCTAGTAAGTTGTCGACGATTAATGAAGTACTTGAAAGTATCAGTGCCACATCAAGATCTCGGGTTCGAAATCATGGTGGGTGATAGAAAAGTGGTTCTCCTGCGCATGAGAATCAGTTTTAGCAAGCTCATAAGGATCGTCGCGGCAATGTTGGCAACCATACTTGGTGTCGACGCAGTTCGAGAAATTCCGGCACAACAGGTGATTATCAAAGGAGACATCCAACATTTCGGCGTAGTAGTAAGCATGCACCTCGTTTTAATCATTATGTTCCTAATTTTGCATGGGTACCGTGTTACTTTATTGTTCCCACAGGTTGGCATTATGTCGATATTAGTATCATGCCGAATGCATATTATTGGTGACAATGTGCTAATCAACGTCCACATCTCATTCCATTCCATATGGATGTTCGGGAGGCTTTATGTTAGCACCAAAAATATATTTTTGGTTTAATTAGAATAGGAGTCCGACCTGGCTTGATATTGGGAAGCTTCTTGCATGCTGCCCAACTTCCTACATTTTTGGAGAGTTAATTGACCCCATTTGATGATTAGTTTTATGAAAAAACGAGCTGGGGAGTAGGAGTTTTATTAGATTGGAAGTTAGACAAGTATACTACGGGTTGTATTCTTATATGATCAAAGAAGAAGTGGATTTCTTCTACCTTCATAAGATCCTAAAGGGACTCTACTTCCATTTCTTTTGCACAAAGCCAAGGCCGGCTTATTCTTTTATTTAAGCAGCTGAGCGCAAGACAGAAATAGAACACCTCTCAACATCGATCATCATCGACTATCATTTTTATTCCTTTTTCATCTTTTCTTTCATGTACTTTTATCATGTTTTTCTAGTGTAGCCTATATTAAATAGTTTTTAGCCTATTTTTCTTCATAGAAATAGGTAGTTGTTCATCGTTTTGTACTTCAGTGAATTCGATTACTCCTTGTAATAGCGTATAATCTACACTTTCCATCTCTAGTCGACGCTATCTATTTCTTTTTCTTCCCATTCTAATGAATTGATGGCCACCACTCTTTGGCTTGTCTCACTTCTTTCTATATCTTTTTCTCTTTGTTATTAAACCAAAGTGAACCCTAAGTCCTCGATTATGGGTCCGAGGCCGGTTTTAGAACACATCCACAATCGCTTGGTTTTGTATGTTTTAGGAGATTTTCACCCCCTCTTTCTCATGCTTTAGGGTGATTTTTTCGGTACAAACAAAATCGCCGGCTATTAGTTTAGCTTTCAACAACTCTGTCGTTCTCCGGTCCAATATGGACACAGAGATGGAAGATCCGACTCAATTGAACTTTATCAAAGACAATCCAGCCACTATGATAGTCAAGAACAGAGATGACAAAGAAATGGACACTGAATTACATCAAATTAACAATCACTCTGGTATTCCATCGGTTTCGACCACCGCGTCAATAGAGGGTAATCCATCCTTCAGGTATCGTTTGCTTCAAGATCAAAGGAACCAATGCACAAACAACTTCCATATGATCGGGGTTACCATGCAAGAAGAGGATGTCATCTACGGCAAGGAAGACGGTCTCTCTTCAACCCGTTTCTCTCAAAGAGTACATAAGCAAATAGAGGTAGCTATGACGTATACCATAGCAGTCAAACCTTTGGTCAGGAATTTCAACACGATCGATTATATAGGAGATTCAAGGGTCTTTAGAAAGCCCAAGGAGCAGTCAAGGGTGAAGTCAAACCGGTGGAAGTCATTGAAGGGTACCATTTGATGCGAGTAACTAATGACGAAGACTTCTACTATATCCTTCTCAATGTCCCTTGGTCTCTAGATGAACATTATATCATGGTATTACCCTGAAACAAATAGTTCAATACCAAAGAAGATAATATCAGTGCAGTTCCGACATGGATCTGAATTCCGGGTCTTCCAGTGGAGTACTTTCATGAAAACCTTCTCAGAAGTCTTGTTAGACTAATAGGAAAATATATTAAAGCTGATAGAAATACATTGTCGGTAACAAGGGAAAAATATGCAAGATTGGCGGTGGAATTAGATCTCACCAAACCATTAATAGGGAAGACCAAGATCGATGGAATGGAATTCAATGTGGAATATGAAGGTTTACAGAAGATATGCTGGAAAGTATGGTCACTTTAAAGAAGAGTGTAACACAGTCCAGGAAAAAATTCCGGCGACCGGAAAATCTCCACCAGAATCACCAGTGGTTGTTCCGTCAATATCATAGGGCCCCCCACACGCTCCAACGGATAGATCTACCTCACAGGTGACATCACAGTTACCAACTAGACAACAACGGATCTTTACCATTGGCGAGTGGAGCCACGCGATAAAAAGGTGAAGGCGTTACACGCCACCTCTTGGGCCACCAGGTAATGGCGCCAAACACACTAATCCTAATCTCACCAAAGGTTTATTGCATAACCCTTTCGCGGTACTAGATGAAGTTGATAAAGAGCAGCAAGATGTAGCTTCTACATATGGTACTAAAGACTCTTCAAGCTTCAATTGGAACAAGGAGCCACCCGTTAGTGCTAAAAATTCATCCCCACCGGTGCTTTCAACAATGGCCGCTCAGCCTCAAAAAAGACAGCCACAAAAAACATGGGCCAAAAACCTAAAGCCCAATCAGTGATCACGGTTCCAACCAAAAGGAAACCAGAACGACAAGGCCGAGATGGTGCGTGGATTAAAAGGTACACAAAGAAAATCCCAGCTATAGAGCAAAACCCACCAATACCTATTAAAGGAAGCCAAGAAAGCACAAGCCCAAATCATGCCACTCTCAAGCCCACCATTATTGTTGCCCAAATGAGCCCACCTCCAGCCCAAGTCATTACAGCCAACAATTCAGTCAACCAATCTAGTCTTGACAACTTGATGCACACCACAGTAGCTCCGGTCAATGACGCTGGATTGGTGATGGAAAAACACACTGTGGTTCATATTCCACATCCAAATCCGTCTCCAAAATATGGAGGGAAAACGAAGATGGATTGTTCATCTTCTACCCCGAACATGAAATCCAAAACAAAAATCAAGATGGGGAAGGCAAAAAATTGGACGCACCGCCAACGGTAGGAGGAGGAATCCCAAAATGACTATATGTTAGAAGTAGAGTTGTCAGAGGATAATACAGTGGTGGAAGAAGACCACTGGTCCAATGACGAAGAGCGGCTACCGGAGGCAACCGAATAAAATTTATCTTCTAGATCTTTAAGAGATCAGAATTTCTTATGGTACACCACCAATGTTCTCTTTATGGCACCCGTCTGGATCTTTGCTTAGGCCCTAATCAGCTTCTTGTCTTACCAAATCTGGTGTTAGTTTCTTCTACGTTAGCCTTTATGTGTGCGGAGATTAGTACTCCAGATATGCCCCTAGATAGATCAGATGGGACACGACTCTTTTCAATTATTGTACACTCTTTTGTTTCTAAGCCTTAAGCTTCCCTTGTATGTAAAAAACAAAAAAAAAAAAAAGACAATCATTTTCCAAAGAAAAAATGTACAATTTAAATTACAGGAACAAAGGATAATATTGTTATTAAGTGGAGTACTCTGCAAATATATATATAAAAAAGAATAGGAGGTATTATTTAGATTGACCTCATAAATGTTAAAGTAAATCTTACTAGATTGAGAATTTGGTCTTAAGTAGCAAAATTATGCATTTCGCGCCGGGGGTGTTTGAAGGAAGAAAAAGCAACATGCTGATTCCATTGACTTGTCTTTATCATTTACTAGATGTTAAACCTACACGATGTGTGGGATATATAATAATAAATTTAATATTATATTAAAAATATTTGTGTGAAAGAATAAACCTACGTACGGAATCATTCTAAAACGTTTTTTTGTTATGAGTATTATATCTTTGATCTACGGGGACATTATTGGAGAATTAATCTGTAATTTTTTATTTTTTAATTATAGATGAAATCAAAGGATTTTTTAAGAAGTTAAAACTGTGAGAATTATAAATTAGATAACGGTTTTTTTTTTTGGGTCTAAAATGAGACGACTTGTTCAACAATTACATAAATTTTTTTATTTGAGAATGTATTAGAAAATGCCACATAAGATTTTGTCCTATGTAGCTGTAAGATTAATTTTTTATTTCTTTCTCTGGTTTCTCTCTTGATATATACTGTAGATATAGATATGACAAACACATGGCACAAAAATTCCAAAAATTAAAATAGATTAACATGATTCATTGATTATTACTTTTGGTTTTGATTGTCTTATGTGTGGCGAAGAATATATTTATGGGTTTAAAAGGAAATGTATAACAGTTAAATGGCATTAAAATATTTAGATTTATCACGAACAATTGTAAAATTATGCTCCCTCATTTCTTTCTTTCAACAATTTAGTTAAGCGAGTTTAATTTTTCTTCTCTATGTAATTGAACTTTGTTATTCTACATGCATTGTGTCCCAGAAAATTTTTATTCTGATTCCGCTACTACCTCAGAGTCTTTGAGGACAACTTTATTAGTTAGAAACAAATTTTACATATTTCTCTTTTAAACCTGGATAATTATTGGTTCCTCCTTAAATTTCATCGTAAACCCTCCTAAATGAATGAAACTTACATAAATGAGAGGTAACATGAAAAGGTTGATAAGAAAAAATCGATTTTCTTACTTAGTAATTCTCACTGTTTTAAGATTTAAGTACCTCGTCTGGTCCTTATTAAAAAATATTTTGATTTATCCTAAATCTCATTTATTCTACCCTTATAATTGAAAATAAAAATTTAAACATATATTTTTACATTTATTAGATTCTCCCAATTATTATAAAGTATTTTTAAGATTTCATTTTTTAAATAGAAAACCATGATAAATGAAACCTTGGAGATATCAAAATACTTTATAATAAGGACTAAAGGGAGTAGATTTTGAGGCTGATCTAATTTTTGTTTATATATATTTTTTAAAAATAATTTCTCACCGTCCCAACTTAATGTTCTTTTCGTTCTGACATGTGTTTTTTTTTTTAATTATTTGATATTTTACTTTTATAACTAGAAATAAAAACCTAATTTGGACAAACATTTTGGAGAGTAGATTATTTGGATACAAGTGTATTTTTCAATCATTTATATTGTAAAGTACTACAATTTCGTAGAAACTATTTTGCAATTAAATCATTTGAAAACAAGAAGAAGCCAAATGAAATTCACAATAAAGGAGGGAAAATTTAAAATGATAACGCAATGAAAAAAAATCTGAAATTACTAAAGAGGAACAAAAAAGAAAAAAGAAAAAGAAAGAGGTGGATGAGCTTCCAGGTGAAAGGGGGACTCGTCCTGTTCTGCAAGAACTGACAGACGGGATAATGTTGATAATGGCTAGAGAAGTTGGTTCTCTAAGCTCCATATCTCCGATTCCAATCTCAAGAAAACATTGTTTTTCTAAACCCAATTCTCCCTATAATTTCTGCACTAAGATTCGGAAGCAACAACACGCCATTTCTGTATGCAGAGCCACTCTAGTTGTTTCCACAAACACCTCCGCCAAGGCCCCGCCGTCATCACGGTACTTTTAATTCAATTAACTGTCCAAAAACCTTTCTAAACTAATTTCTCGAGCTTCAATTGCAAAAGGGTTTCGTCAATTGTAATCAAAATTATGATTTTTTTTTTAATAAGCCTTTTATTGCCTTGTAGTTACCTCGGTTATCATTGAATAAAGTTTTGTTAACAGGTTTGTATGCATAAGTCTAGCATTGTATTCTGAAGGGCTAACTTCTAAAGTTTATTTCTTTGCAGTTGTGTTAGTTTTTTCTTGATGACCATCGATATACACCATAAATAATTGAGACAATTTACTATCCTTAGGTGAAGTTATGCCGTTTTGATACCCAAAATTCTTCTTCCTATGACTGGATAAAATTTATTAGTCTGGCTAATAATATAATTCTAGTTCATTTGAGTGCAATAGGATGAAAGTGGTTGAAACACAAAGAATACTTTTCGCTTCCTCCTGAGATAATAAGACAGTGGTGCCCTGGTGCTTGGTAGTACTACCTTTCTGAGATTGTGGTATAATGTGTTGCTTGTATTGCTCAGTGACTCGGCATTATGGCCAGTATTATGGGGCCTTGCTTAAAATAGATGATAATAGAGCTCCCATCTTTATAATTTGAAACTCTAATGAATAATTTTGGGATGAAAATAGTATTGCTGAAATGATCAAAGAGCATGTATCGCTTTCCTTTATCTAAGATGATTTTAACTAGGTAGTCATGTGGGTTTTTGTGGCAGAAGATTCCAAATAAATGTAAACATTTTGCTCATGAAGATTGTCGATGGTGTCCCTTTTTGCATTTTTTGCTTTCTCCTGAATAGTGACAATTTTATTTTGACCATAGGGACTATATCTGACCAGGGCAATTTTAAGCTTACTTTTAGTTTTCCTAGCTCGCATGGTATAAACCTGTTGCTCTATCTTGATATTGCATTTACTAATTGCACATTTCGTTCAAGCAGCAGTCAGACTTCAATATTTGATCCATTGGGCATCGAATCTGAAAAACCATCAGCTCTACATTCTGCATGGGAAAGTGTCTTGAGCTTGCTTTCCCAGACATTTGAGAGTACTTCTGGTACCAGGAAGGAGAAGTCATCATCATCGAAAGGGGTCGCAGGTTTGTCAATTGCTTCTAAATACGGTATGCATTATCATCATGTTTAAATCATATCTGCAGCTGCCCATGATTGGGGTTCTTTAACATTGCCAGCTGCGATAGAGGACACTAGCATTGATGTTGGAGACTTTTTCAAAGGCCCATTGCCGGGAAAGTTTCTCAAACTCTTAGGACTATTGGCATTGTCTCGACTTGGAATTTATGTACCTCTTGGTGGAGTAAATCAGGAGGCTTTTGTTGGTAACTTAGACCAAAACAGTTTTTTGAGCACTTTGGATTCATTTTCTGGAGGAGGTATTGGCCGGCTTGGTATTTGTTCTCTTGGAATTGTACCCTTTATCAATGCACAAATTGTGTTTCAGCTTCTCACTCAGATCTACCCCAAGTTACAAGAACTTCAAAAGAGAGAAGGCGAAGCTGGGAGAAAGAAGATTCAACAATATACTCGTTATGCTTCAGTTGGATTTGCCATAGTACAGGTAATTAAACATTAAAGGCCTTCTATTAGCGTGGATATCTGCATGCATAGCTCTGTTTTGTTGTTTCCATGCTTTATACTTGCAAAAGAATGGGCTGCTCAAATTTCTTTCTAGTTTGCATAGCGTCTGAGTCTGACCTCTCACTCGTAGCAGAGTACAGTAGTAGTTCATGGTTTCTCTTCTTTGTATAAGACCCCACTGTAGTCATTTGCGCATCTAGTACCATCATTTGATGTTCAAATGGTTTAATTTTCTCTTGCAGGCAATCGGCCAAGTCCTATTTCTGCGCCCTTATGTTGATGACTTTAGTACTCAATGGGTTCTTTCTTCGGTCGTATTATTGACTCTTGGCTCAGCATTTACAACATATATTGGAGAACGTATTACTGACTTAAAACTCGGAAATGGAACATCACTTTTAATCTTCACCAATATTATTTCTTACTTACCAGCATCGTTTGGAAGGACAGTTGCGCAAGCATACCGGGATGGCAATTACGTAGGGCTGATTGCCATCATTGTTTCCTTCTTCCTTCTAGTTCTCGGTATTGTATATGTTCAGGTAAATGTACCTGTGCTTGTAGTTGCTATGCTGTTATTTCAATTAATAAACAAGACGTAATGTTGTTCCAATCCAAATTTCAGGAAGCGGAGAGGAAAATTCCGATCAACTATGCTAACAGATATACTAGTAGAACTGGAGGACTTCAAAGATCTGCATATTTGCCCTTTAAGGTTTGTTTATTTGCATTATACTGTATTTTTCATCCGTGGTAATCATAGATACCCTAGTTAACAGATATTATTGAGCTCCTTGGTTCCAGATTTTCTTTCTTCAAATGTTTATTTGAATCTCCCTTTGCATTTCCCTGGTTGTACTTAACCTTGAGACCTCTCAGTCTCCTCCTCATTGGCCTTCCCCTGTTTCCATATTCTTATGCATACAAATAGATGAAAGGCACATAACAAACAGTTTGATCAGCCTGGGAATATTTTGAGTAATTCTCAGCGGCTAACAAACTTTTGATAGCGTTTATCCAAAAGGGAATCTTCGAAACTAGTATAAATTAACATAAACTATAGCTTGGGCGGAAAGAACTTTTTTGACATGCCTCAATTTTAATTATTGACTTGTTTGTCGGACTACATTTGGCTTTCTGGATAAAACGTTCCTGATAAGAACAAATACACCAGTAAATGCAGTTCATAGTGATATCAAAATTGTATTATTGGATACATTTTCCTATTTTCACAAACTTTGCATTTGGTCCAGGTGAATAGCTCTGGTGTCATGCCAATCATCTTCTCAACATCTTCATTAGCTCTTCCTGGCACTCTGGCCCGCTTTACTGGCTTGAGCGTGCTCAAAAAGGCTGCTGGAGCCTTGAATCCTGGAGGTAAGATACAACTATTGCTATTGCTTTATGGAAATAAAGTTGATTATCGATCCTGCCACTGTATTCCTAGCCCTTCAAGCAATTAGACATTCAAATCTGTTCAACGATGGGATAAGTTGAGTTTGCTTCTTCTCATAAAGGGGAGTCAATAAAAGAAAATAAAATTCTGCTTTTTGAACTGTTCTTGTGAGGCAAGAGATACAGACTTTGTAGGTAATATTGATGTAATTTTGGTTGTCTATCAACAAAATATGGCTATCTGGGCAAATTAAGGGCCAATCACAGAACAAATATGATATTTGATCATTGAAGTAAGTTGGCATGTTTTGGCCATTCCGTTTGATTTTCTGAACAACTGATGATATTTCAATTTTCCTGGATCCTTAGAAATGCTAGGTTAAAAGTGGAGAGTGTATACGTCTTTTGCCTTTGTGGGTAGAAGAATACTACCAGATTCATCTACTATTTTCATTGTTAAATGTCTACCTGTGCGCAAACAATTTTCAGTGTACACATTAACTGGAGGTTTGCCCTTTCAGGTTCTTTCTACCTCCCAACAAATATTCTTTTGATTGCCTTCTTCAACTACTACTACACCTTCCTGCAATTAGACCCTGATGATGTCAGTGAACAATTGAAGCGTCAAGGTGCCTCAATCCCACTTGTTCGACCGGGTAAAAGTACTGCGGCATTTATTAGAACGGTAAGTATGCTTCACTTTTAGGGCATGATCATCTTGCCATTGTGCTTACACAGGATGAAACAGTGCTTTTTTTCATTTGTTGTCTGATATCTGAAGTGACCAACCTGAAAATTCTTCCCAAGAAATATTATTTAGTTAATAAGAACAAACCGAGGGTGGGTGAAAGACAAAGACGACCGACCTATTTTTAAATGTTGCACTAGGCGAAGAATCTTGACTTTTAATCTACCAAATTCATTTATTGTGAAAGGATCATACTGCTCTGTGGAAGAAGGGTCAGTTACAGAGGAAACAGTTTTATTTTATCATTCAAAATTGTGGGCTGCAACTTGGTTTTTCTCATTACAGCATATAAAGATTGGTCCAATTATCCTGTTACAATGGGAGACTGTTTCCATTTGTCTTACTGTAAAACTAGTTTGTTACTCGGGTCATTTTTCTTTAAGGATGTTCTCTGTTCATAAATTTCAAATGGGAAACTGATATATCCCCTAAACCCTGAATCTCAGGTACTTAGCCGGATATCAGTTCTTGGTTCTGCATTTTTGGCAATTTTAGCTGCTGGTCCTGCTTTGATTGAACAAACTACACATCTGACTGCTTTCCGAGGATTTGCAGGCACTTCAGTTCTAATTCTTGTTGGTTGTGCTACTGACACCGCAAGAAAAGTTCAGGCAGAAATAATTTCTCAGAAGTATAGAAACATAGAGATTTATGATATTGATGAGAAGTTCTGACCTCAAATAGCACAATCAGATTAGACCACCGCTAAACAAGGCTGCGGATCGGTCAGAATTGTCCCGGTATGTTTAGCAAGGCTACATATTAATCAGGAAAGTGGAAATTTCGTGTAAATTTTGTGGGATAACTGCCATTACTTGAGTTTATACTTTTTGTTTGGTTAGTTGAAATATCCAAATCCATTTTTTTTGGGGGTAATTTTTACGACAAATGTAACTACAGAAACTTCCTCCCTTCCTTCCATATACTTTATGGTACAGTACTGGAAATATTCTATTATGGCGCTTATATTAGAGGGTATCGACTGATTGTGATCGATAAGTATGGTCGACAACATAAGTCTACACCATGAAAGGCGATGCGACACTTAGAGATTGGAAGATGATGATCTCAGGCCGCGCAATTAATTGTTGAGCAAGCAACAAGAGTTATCAAGCAATATCAATGAGAATTGTTTAGGAGCCGTTTGTTTTGTCACCGTGAATCCTAAATGGAAATGTATTCAAATAGTGTTTTGAATCTTAATGGAACCGCGATTACAATTGCACCGAATGGTACAATATTTAGAATGATTTGACTTAATGTTAAAAATATTTACTAAACTCTGAAATTGGTCATCCCAATCAATATATGCTCCCTTTTTTTTCTTTTTTTTTTCCGTTTCTTCTAATTTCCGGCTGAGACTTTCAACTTCCGCTGCATCTTCTTTATCCCCTTATTCTACTGGGTGTTTTTCCCTCTTTGTTGATCTTAGTTGATGTTGTGTTTGTTGGTTATGGCAGGTTTCTGAAATATACCTTCGTCCGATGTAATTTCTGGAGAAGAGTATTCTTGGTTTCTTGCTTCGAAAGCTACTCGCCAGGCTTGTAAAATTGTTGCTGGTTCTAGTATTTTCACAGCTCAACATGCATGCGACCGACGGGCTTTTGATGGAGCCACTAATATAATGAGTGGTAATTTATCCGTTTTCTCAACTCTTCAATTACGAATGATTTGCCCCTTGTTATGATTGCAAATGAATCTAGCACACCTATCCGTGGCATTGCTTCCGTGTCACTTGATTCCTTTTTCTCTTTGCTATCTGCCTTATATGTGCATGATTTTCCCATGAATGTGTTGTCTATTAGTATGCTTACGAAGTTCTTAAAATGTTCCATTGAGTTTGATGGGTCCAATGTAACTTTGCGAGATTGTAAAACAAGGAAAGTAATTGGTGTTGGATATGAGTCCGTGGGCCTGTATTATTTTGGGAAACGACCACCCATTTTTTCATGTAACTATAATGTAGTCTCGATAGAACAGTTTCATTGTCGTATTGGTCATCCTTCTCTCCCTAATTTGAAGTTAATGATCCCTAATATAAAAAATGTTTCTCAACTGTTGTGTGAATTTTGTGAACTCAGTAAACACACCCGTGTTTCATTTCCTAGTAAGGTTGATAAGTAAGCATTTACTCCTTTTGCTTTAGTCCACACAAATATTTTAGGTCCTAGTCCACAACCTCTAAAAATAGTTTTCAACATTTTGTTACATTTATTGAGACGGCTAGAACTTTATTGATTCATATAAATGTTACTTTGTACCTATGGTTCTAACTGCATGTTATTTGATTAGTCAATCTGTGTTAAACTTTAAAATTCTTTTTTTTTACCTTGTTTCCTAATGAGTCCTTACACCCACTTCCTCCTCTTACTTTTGATTGTATATTTTGTTCACACATTGAGACCTGGTTCTGACAAACTCAAGCCACGTTATCACAAATGTGTCTTTCTTAATTACTTTAATTGTCAAAAGGGTTATCGTTGTCACTCTCCTACTTACAACGTTATTTTTTATATGCAAACATTACATTCTTTGAGTCAATGTCCTATTCATTTTCCGTTCTACTTCTACTGAAATTAGTGATCATTTATCTTCTCTAGTTTCTCCTACCACGAGATCTTTTTCACCCGTAGGTTCATCTTTTCTACTTCTTCACAAATTAGGGAGTCATCTTCTAGTAATCATAGCACTCTCCCACCTATTCTCCTATCTAGGTTAGATCAACCAGATCTTCTCACCTACTCTCGTTGTTCTACGCAACCTCCTGTTACACTTCCTATAATGACCTCTTCTGAGTCATTAATGTCCTCACCTTTGTCATTGCCCATTTAGCCAAAGCATGAGTCTTCTGATCTAATTCCATCGTCTTCCTCTCCTTTGCATGTCAAAATGTTTATGTTAGTATAGTTTTTTTAATTATTTTTTCAACAATTATTATAAAATAATTTAAGAACATAACTATAATAAGTAAAATTCTAAAAAATTAGGTCCTAACTAATATGAGGCCTAAAGCCTTAGCTTTAGGAGCCTCCCTCTAGAGCCGGCTCTGCCTTTATCTCAATTCTGGAGAGCGTGATCATGTTGTTTGTCGTATCAGAAAGACTCTTTATGGATTGAAACAATCTCCTATAACATGGTTTGGTTGCTTTAGCTATACTGTTTTGAAGTTTGGCCTTCGACGCTCTCTTAAGTACCATTCAGTGTTTTTCAAGACCTCTTCCATTGGTAGACGTATCCTTTTAGTTGTGTATATAGATGACATTCTTATTACTGGTGATGCTTCATATGGTATTGAAGCTTTGAAAGCTTTTCTACAATCTCAATTTCAGACCAAAGATCTGGGTCTTCTTCGGTACTTGTTAGGCATTGAAGTTGCTCGCTCATCTCAGGGCATCTTAGTGTCCCAGAGGAAGTATTCTCTTGATATACTTTCAAAGGCAGGCGTTCTTGGATTTCGATCACGTGACACTTCAATGGATTCTAATTTAAAACTGTTGTCAAATGAGGGAGACAAGTTTTGTGACCCAAGTCGATATAGACGGCTGGTTGGCAAGCTCAACTATTTGGCAGTTACCCGTCCAGATATTTCTTTCCCAGTTAGTATTGCTAGTCAATTCCTTGACTCTCCTCAGATTCCTTATTGGGATGCTATTATTCGCATTCTTCGCTATATAAAGAATGCTTCAGGTAAATGTATTTTGTATAAGAATCATTGCCATAGTGAGATCTTAGGATATTGGGATACAGTTTGGGTCAGATCTCCGGTTGATAGGCGTCGAACATCTGGTTATTATGCATTTTTTGGAGGCAATCTTATTTCTTGGAAAAGTAAGAAACAGAGAGCTATTGCTCTTGCCACTTATGAGTCTATTTGGTTAAAACATTTTTTTGATTGAGATTGGTGAACCGGCGTCTTCTCGTATGAAGTTGTAATGTGATAATCATGCTACTTTTCTAATCCTGTTTTCATAAACAGACAAAACGTACTGAGATAGAGTGTCATTTTGTCTATGAAAAACTCCTAGTTAAAGACATTGTGACTAACTTTATTAGCTTGAATGATCAATTGGCTGATGTACTTACGATTTGATCCCCTTCCTTGGTCCCTAAGTTGGGTCTATTTGTAACAAGTTAGATGAATATGGTATATATGCTTTAACTTGAGGGGGAGTGTGAGTTGTTAGTGTTAGTATTAGTAGTACATATAGAGTCATTTTTGGTGATTTCACATGCATGTGTACATAAATATGCTCCCTTGTACACCAATGGTGATTGAGATAATATAGTATCATTTCTTTCCAATCTTAGTAAACTTCTTGGTTGAATATTTTTTTTGGCTATTGTTCTGATGTAGATTACGGTTCCGATAGATAAAAGATAGAGGTGGGATCTCAATTCTGGGGATTAAATGATGGGTATCTAGGTTGATCCGAATAAATATTATATAGGATAAAAATTTCACAGGGCTGGGTTAGGATAAAAGAACTTACCGAAAAGGTTTTTTTTTAATGAATTTATTTTAATATTATTTATAAATAATGTTTGTATTAATTTAATATTATTTATTATTTTGGTTTTTTTTTTGTAATATTATTTAATGAACTGCAAGCTCCTCATAGATACAGATGCTTCCTTCGGATAGATGCGAAAACCACTTTTGTGCCTGACCAGTGAGGTAGGAGGGTAAATCTTTAGCTGCGAACTCCATGGGTGCGTTTCTTATATTCATTATTTGGGTGTATTGCTAGAGAAATTGCACAAGATTTGTGTCTCCCCCTTAAGGCTTGAAATCCATGGGGTAAGTCGAAATTGTTAGATTTCGAGAAGTCCCTAATCCAAGGAACTAATAGACTGTGACTGACACTTGTCCCAATAATTCTTCTCATCTGATCTCGAATGGTCATTTTGTGATCTTGCGCTCCTCGGTCATCATGAGAAGAATGCCTCTGATATCGAGGAGGGTATCTTCCTTCTTTCTCTATTTAACTGAAATATTTGTTACCTGGATGAGAATATCACGCCCTTCTATAAGCTCGCTAGAGTATTGGTCTTCCCTATGATCTTGAGGAAAATATCTCCATTGCCTGTTACGACGAGGATTCTCATCGCCACCCCAGTCTCACCTTAGATCATGTTTTTGAAAACTATCCTGTCGATAATAATATTCGTGCTCAAATAGCGGTTTTTAATCTTGGTAACCATATATTCTGTGCCGTTTGTGGCTAGCTTTTGAATTTCGATAGGGATCTCTTTTAATTCGATTTCTAAGATCATATTCATTTTCAAGAATTTCCAGACTAGGAGAATAGGCCTCATGTTCGTCATACTGTCTCTCGAATTCTCATACTATGTGCTTGACAAGTTCATATCCACATTGGGTAATAGGACCAGGCCCGCCATATATGGTCCAACCGACTCAATATGGTGGTTAACTAATATGAAACCTAGATTAAAACATCTACAAAGTAATTTCATGTCTATAAATAGGGTTGATCACGCCATAATTGAGGTATACAATCTGTAGCTTCCAATAGCAATCATACACTTCTCTCTCAAACCCTTTACTTACTCAAGTATCGGAATATCTACCATCGGGAGACCCGTGAGGTTCTCTTTTGCAGGTTACCGAATCCGGTCGGAGTTCTAGTGTTAAACTGGCGATCAAATTTCAGTTTCGTCAGTGCTTAAAATCGAGATGTTTCTTGTCAAAAGCTGCTAACAATTTTGCTCTCTGGGAACAGGCAGAGTACCCTAAAGAAACTAAATTCCGGTCCATGACATATACGTACGATTTTCTCGTATTTTCACTTTTCAACTCAAACTCGATCGACTTCTGCTTGCCTATCTTGTTCATATTTGGCGGATGCTGGCCCGAGATCGTCTTTACTAAGATTAGGAAAACTGGGAAACTAGCATCTTTTGATCTCTACAAGGGCCCAGTCATACATTATTTGGTTTAAATCAACCTCTTTGTATAATTGATCAAGCTCGTCAAGGCGTTGTTTCTCCATGTTAACAAGGTCGTTGAGACTATCTTGTGCCATCGAGTTTTTAGCAGCTTTCTGATGGGGATTTATTTGGAGGAAAAAACCCGACATAGAGCCCAATAAGTAAGATAAGACCCATATGGACCCAAAAACTCAAGCTAATGGGTCCTGAGTCTACTTTACTTATTAATTGATTCACACGTCCTCGTGCCTCCGATGTGGGATTCACAATCCTTGCTACATGACCCTTAACGTTCTCCCCCGTCATGGGTAATCTCCACATCGGGCTTCCAAATTATCTTAACAAGACCAAATCTGTACTCCACCTG